CTTTCCCCCGCCTTTCCCTCCGCCCCCGCCTTCCGCCTTCGCCCTGCCTTTCCCTCCGCCTTCCACTTTTCCCCGCCTTCCGCCTTCCGCTTTCCCCCGCCTTCCGCCTTCCGTATTCCCCCGCCTTCCACCTTCCGCCTTCCGCTTTCCCCCACCTTCGGCCATCCCCCACGGGTCGATTGATTGATTGACTGATTGATCATTCGGATCAATCGGATCGATTTGATTGATCGACCAATCAGATCGATTGATTGATTAGATCCGTTGACTGACTGATTGATAAATTGATTGGATTGGTTGGTTTTTTATGTCTGTGAAACTCGGAATAAAAATTTATTTCCTCGATTTCTGAATATTTTTTGGATTTATTTTGTTATTTTCTTGATGTTTCTCGAAATATCTGTTGAAAATAGGAATGCTCTGGCTTTTTTTTCTTGAACAGAAATGTTTCATGCTTTATTTTCTTCAAAACAGGAACATTTGGCGGTTTTCATTATGCATTCCAATAAAAATAGGTATGATTGATTGATTGACTAGCTACGACTGTCTCCAGGACATTCTACATCTCTCCAGGACTCCATTTATCTTTTCTTATTGGACTTGCATGACTTCAGACATTTTTACAGGACTCCGCCGTCCGCCTTCTCCCCCGTCTTCTTCCCCCTTCTCCATTTGTCTTTCTTTATAGGGCTATATGCATTCCTTTACAGGGACCCGATGTCTGTTTTGTTTACTGTGTGTTTCTGTGTTTGTCTTTATTGTTGACTTTTGAGTAGTGCATTTTTTCCAACATGACAAAGAAAGTTACATCATTAAAGCCTGCGACTGCAGCTCCAAGCAGGTCTCGAAGTAGTGTTGGTGGTCCCAGAAAGGGCGCATCCAACCCAGAGGACACGTGGGACAAAGAAGAAGAAACGGATGTGGAGGAGGAGGAGCTTGTTCAAGAGGAGGAAGAACAAGAAGAATAAGCACAAGAAGAAGCACAAGAAGAAGAAGAGGAAGAAGAAGGAGAAGAACAAGGAGAAGAAGAAGAAGAAGAAGAAGAAGAAGAAGAGGGCGAAGAGGAAGAGGGCGAAGAGGACGACGAGGACGAAATGGATGCAGAGAATGTGGAAGCAGCTCCGAACAGAGGACCAACAAAGCGGAAAAAAGGCTGGTGCGAAGACTTCCTTTTCAGCAGGACATTGCACGAAGAGTTCCTTCCCTTCTTCTGGGCCGTTTGCATCACAGGTGGTTGTGCGCAGTTGTTCGTGCAGTCCAAAAAGCCCACGTACAACCCCATCGGTGAAATCATAATCTCGTCCTGGCTGTTGGAGGATGAGCGGATGCTTGCAGAGATGTGGGTTGTTGTGGGGGAGAAGATACTCAGATATATCTTGAGCTCATCGAAAATGAAACCTGGAAAGTTCCCTATTGAGAACAAGAGGTTGGTTCAAGAAAATAGAAAGGGTTTTAAGGTGAGTTTCAAACTAGACCCGCCATATTTCTCTCTTCCTCTGTTTTTCTTCATTTCTCTCATTTGCCTATCACCAGTCTGTTGTTTAGCGAAACAGTCAATTGATGTTATAAGAGCAGCGGTATTGCTGCTGTTTCCGCCGTGGCTGCTGCAGCTGTTGTCGATCGTTATTGCTGCTGTCCTTGCTGCTGCTGCTCTTGTTTTTTTTGTTGTTGTTGCAGCTGCTGCTTTTACACTTGTTGTTGTTTCTTTGTTTTTTTTTGCTATCATTGTGATCACAACAGAGGTTCCCCTAGCTAACGCTGTCACTTGATGTTTACTGCCGCTGTACCTTGTTATAGCCCTATATGCCGCAACATCAACATGAGGATTGCAAGTTGCTGCAGCGGTATATAGGACTCTAAGTGAATGCTGCGGCATTTGGGACCATAAGCGACTACTGTAGCAACAAAGCGTCAACTGACAGCACTGACTGCTGCAACCATTCCGCCAACCACAACATGCATGATTGTTGGTCTGCATGCTGATGGTGGACCTTATGTTCGCCCAACCCCACCCTCCTTCATCCTCTCTTCCCTCCTCTCCTCCCTCCGTCTTCCTGCTCCTCATGCTTCTACTGTTGCTGTGTAGCAGCAGTAGTACCAGTCGCAGTACCAACAACAATAGTAGCAGTAGCAAGCAGTCGAAGTAGTAGCAGCAGCAGTATTAATAGTAGCAGTACCTCTACAGCGTTTGCGACTGCTACTTCTGCTACAATGGGAGTACCGCTGCTGGTACTGCTACTTCTAGCAAAGGGAGTACCGCTGCTGGTACTGCAACTAAAGTTGTTGCTGCTACCGCTGCTGCTGCTGCTACTGCTGCCGCTACCAGTAGTAGCAGTACCAGTAGCAGCAGCGGTAGAAGCAGCAGCAGTAGCAGTTCCACTTGCAGTAGCAGCTGCTGTGGTAGCAGCAGCGACAGTAGCAGTAAACGCATCAGTACAAGCAAAAGAAGCAGCAGTACCAGCAGTAGTACCACTGCTGGTACTGCAACTACTGCTGCTGCCACTGCTGTGGCTACTACTACTGTTGCTGCTGCTGTTGCTTCTGCTGCCACTGCTGCTGCTACCAGTAGTAGCAGTACCAGAAGCAGCAGCGGCAGCAGGAGCAGCAGTAGCAGCAGTAGTAGCACTACAGCTGTAGCAGTAGCAGTAGTAGCAGCAGTACCACCACAACAGTAGCAGTAGTAGTAGTAGCAATAGTAGTAGCAGTAGTACCACTACAACAGTAGCACCAGTCGAAGTAGCCGCGACAATAGTAGTGGCAATAGTGCCAGTACAGTAGTAGTAGTAGCGGTAGCAGGAGTAGCACGAGTAGCAGCACAGTAGTAGTAGTAGTACCAGTACAGTAGTAGTAGTAGTAGCGGTAGCAGGAGTAGCAGTACCAGTAGTAGTACAGTAGTAGTACAGTAGTAGTAGTAGTAGTAGTACTAGTAGTAGCGGTACAGTAGCAGCAGTAGCGGTACAATGGTAGTAGTAGTTGTTGGAGCATGTTTCAGCCCTGAATCCTGCTGCAGCAAGTTGTAGTGCTAACTTTCCGTGGCTGGATTTTAAGACTGTAATGTGCTGCGGGAGGTCACAGCCCTAGTTCCTGTTGCGGTATTTTAGAGGCCTATGTATGCAGTTCCTGTTGTGACATGCTGCAGCAGGATACAGTCTCGAATCATGTTGTTGCATCGGGAGACCTGCTCTCGCAGAATTCAAGGTTGTAGCTTGCTGCAGCGTGATAAAGTTCTAAATCCAATTGCGGCAACATACAGGCCTACATGTCGTAACTGCAGAGCATTTGGGACTGTAAACTGCTGCGACGTGTTACAGTCCTGAATCCTGCTGCGGCAAGTTTTAGTGCTATATCCTGCAGCAGCAGCATATAGGGCTATAACTTGTTGTCGCAGGATTTAGGGTTGTGACATGCTGCAGCAGGATACAGTCCCGGATCCTATTGTTGCATTGGGAGACCTGCTCTCGCAGGATTCAAGGCTGTAGCCTGCTGCAGCGTGATAAAGTTCTAAATCCTGTTGCGGCAACATATAGGTCTATATGTTGTAACTGCAGAGCATTTGGGACTGTAAACTGCTGCTACGCGTTTCAGTCTTGAATCCTGCTGCGGCAAGTTATAGTCCTAACTTGCTGTCGCAGGATTTAGGGCTGTGACATGCTGCAGCAGGATACGGTCCCGGATCCTGTTGTTGCATCGGGAGACCTGCTCTCGCAGGATTCAAGGTTGTAGCCTGCTGCAGCGTGATAAGTTCTAAATCCTGTTGCGGCAACATATAGGCCTATATGTTGTAACTGTAGAGCATTTGAGACTGTAAACTGCTGCTACGCGTTTCAGTCATGAATCCTGTTGCGGCAAGTTAGAGTGCTATATCCTGCAGCAGCAGCATATAGGGCTATAACTTGCTTTAGGGCTGTGACATGCTGCAGCAGGATACAGTCTCAAATCCTGTTGCTGTATCGGGAGACCTTCTCTCGTAGGATTCAAGGCTGTAGCCTGCTGCAGCGTGATAAAGTTCTAAATCCTGTTGCAGCAACATACAGACCTATATGTTGTTACTGCAAAGCATTTGGGACTGTAAATTGTTGCTATGCGTTTCAGTCTTGAATCCTGCTGCGGCAAGTTATAGTGCTATATCCTGCAGCAGCAGCATATATGGCTATAACTTGCTGTCGCAGGATTTAGGATTGTTACATGCTGCAGCAGGATACAGTCCCAAATCCTATTGCTGCATCGGGAGTCCTGTATGATGTGACTTCCTGAAATTGATTTATTCAATGTTACCCGTTGTTTGTTAGTTCGGTGTTTGATGATGTGGGCATGGTTCTGTCTGTGCGCAACCATTCATCGAAGTGCTCGGGAATCACTTGGCGCCCTCCATTGATGATCGTGTTCTTCCTTTCAAAGAAGCGTTCGACAATCTCAGAATGAAAACGCCTTCGGCGTCGAAGAAGATCTCCTCCAGAGGGCAGCAGATACGTCCGCAGAACGTCGCTTCGCCTCACACTTGCGTCGACTCGACTGTCGTTTTGGAGCGTGGCTCCGGAACAAAGGCCAAGTCTGCGAGGCAAAAGGCTCTCGCAAGGAAAACGAGTGAAAAAGTGAAAGCCACGTCTGTAAAGGGGAAGGAGAAGGCGAAAGACAAGCAAGAAGAAATCCAAGTGCCTCAGGGTTTTGTGACTGGAGAACGGACGGATGAATTGACCAAAGTTTGGGAGGAGTTGCAGAGCTTGAACGCTAAGAAAATCTCCAATGAGTCTTTCTATCTGCCGATGAGTTGCATGCAAAGACCGCCTTTGGATGCCAAAGGGAAAAGACCATTAGAGGTGAGAGAGCCTGACGAGGATCATATCAGTCTGCTCATGGATTCCATGATCAGGCAACCAGCTGGAGATCATCTTTCATCCGTCGGCCTTGTGGACCCTAAGGAGGCAAAGGACAAACGAGCGGTAGATTTGAACAAGCTGAGGGATGGAAAGTACCACGTTTTTATTCTTGGTGGTGGCCATTGTCGGAAGGCAATGGAGCGTCTCATGCCGATGTCCCCTGACAACAAAGAGTACAAGTTCAACGTTTGCTACGTTTATGCAGGCTTGACCGTGGATGAGGCACGGCAGGTCGCTCACATGCGTAACCTCGCCGCCGGCTACCATCGCGACATGAACTTCATCGAGAAGATGAAGTGCCGGCGGCAAGTCTTTGAAAGCAAAGGGTCTGTTAAGTCGCAAGAGGTGAAGTTGGCGTGCCTTCGGGAAGCATGTGTTCCAAACCCTTCATTGAAGCTGGGGAACAATGATCCTCTACTGCAGGTTGCAATGCAGCCAAAAGAAATTTGGGACTTGCAACTGCGGATTTTCAACATGTGGCAAAGAGGGGAGGTGAAGGGTCAGAAGTTGAAGCCCGCGGCAAAGAGTTAGATCAAACATGAAGCTGGCCCTGAATCAAGTGAATCTGAGGGTGGGAAGAGAAGCCAACGAGGGAAGAGGCTTGACAGGGCAGCTGCTAAGCTACAAGAGATGACGCTTCTGAATCCTCTGGTCCAGTTCAAGGACAATAAAGTTGTTCTGGTGCCTGAGGACATGCCTGCCCAACCGTGGATCTCCATGGGTAACATGGCTCCTGAGAATGTTGTTCCCATTCTCCTCGAAGTCATTTTGAAGACCATCTCCATCAAAGAAATGGAGCAGAAATTCAGGGTCGTCAAGAAACTGAACTTTGTCTGCAAGGCCTTTGCAGACGGTGTCGGCTGCAAAGAGTGCAAGGAGGTGGAGCAGAAATATACTTTGCACACCAAGAAGGAAGTCTTGGAGAAGTACATTGGCAGCTTCGAGAAGCGTGGGAGTACACCTACTGCTCTGAAGGACCACATCGTACGAGGAAAGGAGTGGAGAAAGAAGGAGGAGAGATTAATGGCCAAGGAGGCACAAAGAGCCAGTCTTCTGGCGTTTCGAGCGCAACCTCTGCCGGAGCCTTTTGCTGATTGGACGGAGGTGAAACACGAGGGGGATGCAGGGGAAGTCAAGATAATTTGGGGCGACATGCGCCATCTGTCAACACTGCAGAAGGAAAAGCTCCCGATATCGCTCGCCATTTTCGACTTTCCTTACGGGTTTGCGCACAAAGGCCATAAACGGGACACGGAGCCATTTGCAGAGACTGATGTTGTCGAGGTGCTGCAGAACGTCAAGGGCGTTTCCAGTGCTCCCTTGTGGACGATCACAGGCTTCTGATCCGTAGACATGCTCCCATCAATTCGATCTGCGTTTTAAAAGGTTTGCAATGCAGGCCAGGAACTGCTGACTTGGTGTAAACCTAATGTTACGAATCCGGGAGGTCCTCGCCTTGTCAGCGCGACGGAGTTCTGCGTCTTGGGGTACTACAGTGAGAGCGGCGAACGCGAGATGGCCCATTACAATTTCGCCCCCATCGACCCGCGTTACAATTTTCAGCTTTTCAACGCAGTCACAAATAAATACGTCTACCCCAGTGATCTGCCAGTGTTGTGCCCGTATCCGAAGCCCTTTGCATTGTACTCGTGGTTGGTGAACAAGTTTTCACCTGCTGGTGCCTTAGTTGTGGACGACTTTTCTGGATCGGGTACAGGTGTTATTGCCTGCGTCAAAGCAAATCGAAATTGCCTCGTCGTGGAGATTGACAAACGTTGCGCGAAGGTGATTGGCATGAGGCTTCTGACCGACATCGGCTCCACGATCGAGAGAGAAACCTCAAAGTAGGCGAGGAAAAAGTCGAAGGGACCTCAACCCGATCAGGAGACTGAGGTGTCAGCAGAACAGGGGTCGGATGGGAAGGGGACGCTCATTGAAGAAGGACCGGGTGACGAGGCCTTAGTGCCGACAGGCGCTGGACAAACCGTGACTGCAGGAGAGAGCACCAGGGCCAAAGATGCAACAGGGCCTGCAGCGGAGCACCAAATGACCGGTGCAGCAGACGTGGCACAAGTACGTGACCTTGCGCTGGCAACTGCTCTCATAGTATTGCCTGCAGGTGGCTCTGTCGTACCTTCTGCAGCAACTGCCAAAGGGGGAGAGGGTTCGGAGACAACGAAAAAGCGAAGATTGGCGGAGTTGGAGAGTACACGCGAGGAAGGCGAGTTGTCTCATCGTCGGGCTCTCACTTTAGAGACTGGCGAGATCCAGTAGGCGTCGGGGCAGACTGGCAATCCTGAAAAGGATGAAGCGGCACGGAGCCCAGAGTCCAGCAGAGCCACTGCCACCGGGAAGAGACTCAGGAAGGCGAAGGTTGGTGGCGAGGAGGTCGTGAGCGCCCGCACACACGTCGTGGTCGGTCTTCCCCGGACTGGTCGGACACGCGGTGGAAAATATTTTTGGCGCATCCTTGCCCACGCGGAAAGAACCATATAGGGCTATACGACGCTGCAGTCACAGGCTAATGTGCGCATTTATGATATAGGGCTATAAGCACCACATCTCAGTTGCCTGTTTGTCTGCATTCCGTCGTAATATTTCGTCGTCCAGGTTCAGGGAACCATATAGGGCTCTACCGCGCTACGCGGTAACAGGTTGTTGTGCACATTCACTAAGTAGGGCTTTTAGCCCCACATCAGTTGCCTGCTAGGCTGCATTTCGTCCAAACAGATTTTAGCCCTACATAGTTTTCCCTCTACAGTTATAGCCCTATATCCCCCTCCCGCGATGGTAATTATAGGGCGACGAGCAACCACGTTGATGTCGAATGATGATTGCCATGGTACAATCCGGCAGGAAAGCCGATGTAGGATCGAAATCGGTCCACGTAGCAAGGATGGCGCCCCTCGGAGGTTTTTCTGAGAAGAGAAATCAGGCTTCATCAATCGACGAGTCTCCTGATCGCATCGCTGATAGAGTTGGAGGTTGTTTGGGTTTGTGCTCCATGGTCTGTAAACATGGCCTGAGAGTGGCGGTGCTCTTCTCTTTTGCTTTGTTCGGCTTGTCAACGTGCTGCATGGTCAGTTTTGGAGGTCCTTGTTCGAATGGTGGACCACTTTCCACGCATGTTGTTTCTTTTTTTTGCCAGGGTGGCGGAATGACTGAGAAGCGGTCTGGTGATGACCAGTTCTGCTTCTGGACAAAACCCGGACGCCAGCACCTGAACTGGGTAATGGCCCCATATTTTTTTCGGGTTGTTTAGAGTGAGATAATTTTAGGCAGAGGTGGGAACCAGGGCACTCGGTTTCGTTTGGGTTCCAGCCGCAGGAGGCAACAAGTGGGTGGTGGGTGAGAGAGTGGCACAATTACGAGGAATGCGAATTCCAATCAGCCGTTCCTAGGCTGTTTGCGGGCCGAGAGTAGGCCTGTTTTAAAAGGTCTAAGTAGCTTAGGATACGCTAGGTCAGCAGTGGTTCTTGTAGATGCAGTCGTCGAAGAAAAGTTTTCTCACTTTCTTTGTTTTAACTTTGCAGCTTGTTCTTTTCCATTTTTCTCACTGCGTGCTCAACTGTTTTTGTTCTCAACTGATTGATGGGTTAGGCATTGAAAGCATCCGATTGGGATTGGATACCGATGCCTCACTTAGAACAGGCATGCGGTTTTTGATTTCCATCTGTTCGCTGTAGCATCTCGAAGGTAGAGCGGAATAGATTAGCTTGTAGGTTGATAGGCATGCAGTTTTCTATTTTCATCTGTTCGTTGTAGCATCTTGAAGGTAGAGCGGAATAGATTTGCTTGTAGGTTGAGAATAAATGCAATACTCAGATGAGAGAAAGAGAGAGAGAGTCAGGTCTCTTGTCATGTTTAACTCTTTCTTTTCTCGTACTTCTTCGTTTGATCTGCCTTGAATTTTTGTTGTTTTTTTACCTTGCCGCTTTCTGGTTATTTCCTTTTCCTTTGCTGCCTATGACTGTTTGTATGCCCACACGCCTTCACTTCGCCGTCCAGCCTTTGTGGCTTGCTCCCTGCCCACACGCCTTCGCTTCTCTTGTGCTTGGAAATGGTATGTGGTCCTCTAAAGAATATCGAAATTGGTTTAAAGTCCTCTATGCCAGAATTCACGAACTAATGTGTCAGTTGGGAGAGGGTCGGTAGGACCGGAGTCTAGAGAACCGGGGACTCAGGTCCTATCAATCCTCTCTTAACTGACACATTAGTTCGTGAATTCTGGCCCAAGCACCTATCTGAATTGGGCCTGCATGAAAATACTTTGGCCCAACGTGAAGCTACTCGCCATTATCACAGTCGCTCGGGCTTTTACCACAGCTCGGTTATAGGCCTACACCACATTTGGGGTTGGTGAGGCTGATGGTGGTCCTTTGGTTGTCAGGGATGCGCACTGTGGGAAGTCAAGGGCCGATGGGAGAGCAGAGAGAGACACGTACCTGGTGTTTGCTGGCAAAGGATCGGGGATGCGCATTGTGGGAAGTCAAGGGCTGATGGGAGAGCAGAGAGAGACACGTACCTGGTGTTTGCTGGCAGTCAAGGATCGGGGATGCACACTATGTAGGCTAGAGTAGTTGCTGATTAGGGCGCTGAGCGCCAGTAGAGAAAAACGACATTGTATACTGTGTGGCGAGAGAGTGTCGACATTGAGTGTCGACATTGGCATTGAGTATCTCGGTGTAATGTGCTTCCTGCTTGGTCTATCACTTTAAAACCAGTACTTGGCTTAGCTATCGAGTCCGAGCCTCGGCCGACCGGGCGCAGGCATCCCGAACGATGGAATGAAACGAACGTAAAGAACGGGGAAAAAAATGGAAAAAAAAAAACAAAACGAAAGGGTTTATTCCCACTTGTGTTTTTCGAACGGCTACGGAAACGCAAAGCGGGAATGAATCTTCCCGCTTTCGCACAGAGAGAGAGAGAGAGAGAGAGAGAGAGAGAGGAAGAGAAAGGGGCGTTGACCTGCATGGAGGTTCGCACCGAACTCGCCGCCCCTCTCTCTCTCTCTCTCTCTCTCTCTCTCTCTCTCTCTCTCTCTCTCTCTCTCTCTCTCTCTCTTTCTCTCTTGAGAGAGAGAGAGAGAGAGAGAGAGAGAGAGAGAGAGAGAGAGAGCAGGTTAACCGAGCACCCATTTTTCAGGCTCATTTATAAGAAAACCAGACAGTCATTTTAACAACACTTCACACCAATCTATAGAGTGCACTTCTTACGACCCCATCACAGAAAAAAACCCTAAAAAAAGCAATTAAAAACATATAAAACAGCAAGCCAAAGGTGCATTTCCATGAAATTTGGCCCAAAAAAAACTTGACCAATTTCAGAAATTTCAGAAATCTTAATAGCGCAAATTCTAAAACTCCAAATAACCCCAAATTTCATATACTGCAACCCTATCAAAATGCATATATAGCAAAAACTTGGAATTCCAAAAAAACATGAAAGTTGAGCCCAAAACCCTAATTTCAGAAATTTCAGGCCTGAAAACCAGATGCCCCGTTAATCTCTTGTGTGTGTGTGTCTCTCTCTCTCTCTCTCTCTCTCTCTCTCTCTCTCTCTCTCTCTCTCTCTCTCTCTCTCTCTCTC